TTTTCTTTTGAAAGAAGTGAACCTTTTTGATATTCTAAATACAATGGATATAAACAATGCTACTAATAAATTTAGTAAAGTAGAGAAAATCCAGAAGCTTTGAAAGTGTAGATGCAGTGTCTCCAAGCCCTCATTGTTAACTGCTACAGAGTGTATTCTATCTAAGGCAGACTTAATAGGAAAAACTGCCATAAGAATGTTATTTCTAAAGCTCTGGAAGAATTGTAATTCAATACCTAGCTTTATAGAGCAATATAATCCTACTATCCCTCCTCCAAACACTCAGAATCTTCTCTAGTATCTTCCCAAGCCAACCCATTACAGGAGGAAAAATCCTCCTCAGCTACTCTGGAAGCTTCCCCAACCTTCTGGCTCTAAGTGAAATCTCAGACCTGACGGAGAACACTACATCTTAACACTCTTAGATAAAAGGTAGCCATTTGTTTTTCTCCCATAATCCCTATAACCATAAGGCCTACAAGTCAAGTAGCTGTATTTGTTGTTTCTCTTTGCCATAGTGAGATCTCTCCTTTCTTTCTGAAGAAGCTCTAGGTGGTACCCCTCCTTAAGACAATCATCTAGGGATACCCTGCCACTTCCCCAAACATCTTAAACATTTTATCACCTGGATGACTGGCTTCCTCTATCACTCAGAGATGTCAACATCAATGGAAATGATCTGTCTAGTTCCCTGGACTCTGCATTCCTTGGTCTCCATAATTTCAGTAATCTTTCCTTCTACTTCACTTTAACCACTAGTTTCCATGGCCACACCTGAGACCTTGCCATTACCAACAGCTGCCAGGACTTCTCTCTTTGGCAACCACCTCCTATCTTTTCAGCTCTTGTACCAATAGTCCAACAATTCTTTGACCCTCATCAAACGTTCACTGTCCATCACCTTCCTTATATCCTCATCTCCCCACTTACTCAGGTCAGAGTCCACAGTCTGTCACTAAAACCACTTCCCAGCAATCTCCATCAACTCCTTCTAGCTCACTTTTCTGGCAAAACTCCAATTTAGGTCAAACCAAACTCAGTATGTTAGTTCTACATCTGCCACGTTAACAGCTGAAAATGTCTGAATAAAATACCACTCCATGATGACTAGCCTCACTTTAATTTATAACCTCAAATCTCAAATCAATCCTTTTCACTGCTTGGCAGCCTATATATATATATATATATATATATATATTTTTTTTAGTGAATTCCGTCTCCTACTCTTGTTACGTATGTTTTCACCATCTTCTCTCTTCACAAACATCCGATATCCCCTCCCTCTCCTCATTCAAAGCTGATAAACTCGCTTCTCATTTCACTGAGAAAATAAAAGCACTCAGAAGAGGACCACATACCTTCCTACCGCCCATCTTCCTTTAACTGCCTTCTCTTCTTACTCCTCTGAAACCTAGTCCTCTACCTCTGCGCTGGAGTCCACTGAATCCACTGAGTCAGAATTTCGACCTGAAGTTCCTTCCTCTGTTGTAGTTTCAGTTTTTCTCTCTTCACTGAATTATTTCTATCACTGTATGCATTGCATACATGTGGACACACATCAGCTATTGCTCCATTCTTTCCTCAGCTCTATAATAACATTCCTCAAAATTTGCCTGTATTCATTTTCACCACTTTCTTACCTATCATGCTGTCTTAGCCCCGCTTCAGTGTGGCATTTTCCTCCCATTTTTAACCATGAAACCTACTGTCATGGAGTTGTCAGTGATCGCATCTTGCCAAACCACTCATCAGTTGCATACCCTCATCTTACTTCACTCTCAGCAGCGTTTGACATAGCAAATAAATAGCTTCTACTTTAAATTATTTATTCATTTGACTTCCAAGACATGATCTTCTCCTGATTTTCCTCCTACTTCATTGGCTGCCCCTGCTTAGTCTTTAACTGGTTCCTCTTAGACTTTCCAAATTTGACAGATCATTCTGTCTGAGGACACAGTTGTATGCTTCCTTCACCTCTATCTTTACTCATCCTGATGTGACTTTATCTCATCCCTTAACTTTGAGTACCAGAGACATGAAGATGCCTCCAAATTGTATATTGA